TGTTTTGCAAGAGCCAGGGGGCCTTACCTCTGTTAACCTCCAGTTTAAATTTATATTTTTAACTTTAATAATTATAAAATGTGCATACAGTTAAACTAATAAATAATGTATTCATTGTAGTTTTACGGTCTACTATGGTGAATTTGTAGTTAATTTTCATATGACATATCTTTAGCCACAGTTATCCAGGGCCATTTACATATGTGCATGAGGAGGTGATTTTAGCATCATGCCTGACAGGAAACATTGCCTGTGATGAGAGGACAATTTGTCTACCCATGAGGCCATGATGCAGCTGAATTTGTTGATTATGGTTCCATAAACTAAAATGTCATCATAAGTGCTCAAATGCTTTGAGTTACATGTTACACATCTCTGGGCAGTCTATATTACTCTTCTAATAGTAGAAATCTTATATTTAAATTTCTACTTCAGTCAAAGTACAAAAGCACCTGCTTTTAAAAATACTTAAAGGTTGTGTGTAGTATTTAGGACGAAAAATGCAATATAATAACTATGTTTTCTGTGATGTATAAAGATATTAGGCTACATAATGAATCCTTATGTTTTATTATCTTAAAATGAGCCATTTCTATCTACATACACCGCGGGTCCTCTTACATAGACGTCGCCATGTTGGGCCGCCGTGTTTCTACAGTAGCCCCAACAGACAAACAGCTCTACAGAAGGCGTTTCGTCACTACGTTAAGTATGTACAAAGAAGAAGATATAGAAGAACAAGTAACATTAGTAGTAGTACTAGTAGTACTAGTCGACTGGTTTATTAGAATTAAGAAAAGAAGAGAAATTTGGACAAATGAAGGCCCACACGTATTATTTAGCACGAGCCGACAGAGCATGTCGGCCACCGTAGCTTCTCCTGCGGCTTGGAAAAGGAGGGGGGAGAACTGACTGATGGTGCATTCATGTGGTGTCGGAATAATCAGAATCTTTTTTCCTCCTTTAATCTTTATTGCAAAAATAGAAATAAAGTGTACATGGGACATAAAGAAGCATATAGAACTTTGATTTGTGCAAAATCACGTATGGCATATAGATAATCTGTAATCTTGAATATCTTTATGACGGTTATTTTGCTGTCCATGTAGAGGGAACTAGATGTCTGCAAGTTGTTTGTGTGCTCCGATAATACTAATCAAACAATTCTTTGTTGTAGTGCCCATGTTGATTCCACATTTCAACTTAAGAATACATGATCACACAGTGAATTCGGAAGAACAAATTCAGAACTCGGGAAAGGGACCGTCTGAGTCCCTGGTTGCAATTCGCAACCCTCATCACTAGATGCCACTAAAACATAGACACTGAATATCAAACGTAAAATGTACTAATAGTATCATTCTGTTTGACAGGCGACGCATGAACCCAGGTTCAAAAAATAATGTTTTATCTTATATTGGCATGCAGGCCCTCAGTTCGGCCTCTGAAACAAGCTGTAGATGCTCATGTCCCTGTAAAGTAACTAGTAATTAAAGCTGTCAGATAAATTAAATTAAAATTAATTACATTAAATTAAAAAGTACAATATCTCCCTCTGAGATGAAGTAGAAAGTTGTATGAAAAGAAATTCAAATTTGTACTTAAGTACAGTACTTGAGTTAATGTTCTTAATTACTGTCCACCACTGGTGTTAAAGTGCCAAACCAGTGTTTTTACATGTTTTTACTATGAATCATGTATACTTTGCATCAACACAAATCAGTTTGCAAACTATGCTACTGTGCTACTGTTTTTGAAATTTGCATGTGCTTTTGTACTGTTCCAGGCCTCCACTCATTTCCATACAGTAGGAACATCAATTAGCATTAGATTTAGATCAGGTGGCATTAATATTTTACATTATTGTTGTTAGGTAAGGCAGTACAAACTTTTGAAATTAATCAGCTCCTAAACATCATTGCAGATTTTTATTTTATTTTATTTTATTTTTTCTCACATCTTAACCTCATATGTTGCCTTTTTTGATCCCTTCAGGGATAGTATGATCCTTTAAGATCACTCTTCATTGTGAGTACTAATGTTTCAGCTGTAATATTAGAAAGGCACCTGTCTTGCTGAAATAGCTGAAACACTGAATCTCTGCTCAATAAATAAAGCTTTATTCTTCAACTTTCCTGAGGACTTTTTGTATATTTTACATAATGAATGACTGAACATTTTTCTTCCTAAAATTAATGGACTGGAAATAAAATGATCATATCCTCATTTGTACACACTAATCAAGCATCCCAGACAATGCAGATTAATGCATATATCATTTTATTCCCAAACACATGTATGCCTGCAGTCTAACACATTACCAGTGAAAGTAAATCTACATGCTACAAGACTATAATAACCAAGACACAGCTGTCAACTAATAGGCTTAGTTGGACTGGTACACAGGGTGGTGTGGGGGGGTCTCAAATAAATATGTACGTTACTCAGCATTATAAATTAACACCTGAGCCTGCTGTCTCCCTCTAAAGCAAAGTATCAGAATGCGTAAAGAAAAAACACAAAAGCAGCTCATATTACTGAACAACCCTTCCATTCCCACAGAGGATGAACAGCACACAATGTGGTCTTTGGGGACTTGTGGCTCAGTGACAACTAGACTACCCTGTTAGCTAACGCAGAAGCACCACACCCTTTCACTCCCTCTGTGAACACACAAGTGGGCCAGTAGAACTGGTATTTGGATTAGCTAAGCACTCATGCAGCTGAAAAAGGATATCCTTACTGTTTCGGGGAGTGGCCAGAAAATGCGTTCAGCCACTAGTGGTTTGCCATGGCTTTTTGCTCCATTATGGCATCTGTTGAGTGAGGTCAGACATGATGCATTTTTATTTAGGAGGGGGTCTCACAGCTGCGGCTCTCACAGCATACAGTCTTTAAGACAGCTGAGTCACAGGCTACAGTAATATCCTCTTTGGGGTATAACACTAGCCCCAGTGTTCTTAATATTTTCCTTATTTTCCTTTTCCATAACACCATAGAGCTGTTTGTAGGTCCATTAATACTTAAGTGTTATATAAGGTCTATGGTTAAAACCCATAAATCTAATTTCTATTCAAGATCCCAGGATTACATGTGTTACATTGCATTATAGGGACATGTGTTTGAAATGAAACAAGAAATGAAAATTATTTTCCATTTGATGTGCAGCTATAAAAGTCTGCTTCTTAAATTTGAATGTTTTACTAAATATAACTGACATGACAAATGATTACAAGCATTTCCAACATTTTCCCCCTAAACTGAACCACTCTTTTATTCTATTCTTCTTTCTAGTCTACCGACCACTCAAAGCGCTTGTACACTACATTACATTCACCCATATTCATACACTGAGCCTAAGTGCTCAAACAGAAACTAACTCACACACATTAATACATGGAACAGCCATCAGGGACAATTTATGGAAGATTTTTCTTGGACTTTAATATTTGTAACCCACAGAAAACAATCCACAAATGTGAACTTTGATGCGCAAATATTTCACTATCTACAAATATGTATTTTTACATTTGTGATGTGTAAAATCATATCCACAAAAATACAGAGTGATTTCTACACACAAAACAGTTTTTGCGCATTTGCAGACATGACCTCATGACATCATTTGTAAAATTTGTAACTTCCTTTTTATTCATTTGTGGAATTTTGTCTAATGTGTACTGTGGAGATCTGTAAAAAAAAAAAAAAAAAAAACCAAACCATACATATACACACATATCTCACTACCCAAAACATGTATTTTTACATTTGTGTTGTGAAAAATCATAGCCACAAAAATACAGTACAATTTGCAAATATGTACAATTTCCTCTGTACACACATATTTTAATGTCACATACAAAGTGTGTGTCACTGTGGAACCTGATCCTGAAACACGAGCGTTGAGGCTATCATCCTTTACCTTGTTGTCTCTGTGGATTGTTTTTTGTGGGTTACAACTATTAAAGTCCAACAAAATCTTCCATAGCAATTTGGGGTTCAGTATCTTGCCCAAGGACGCTTCGACATATCGGGGATTGAACCACCGCTCTTCCAGTTAGCGGGAAATATGCTCTACCTCCAGAGCCATAACTACTACTACTACTACTACAGGTACTACAGGATTGTGATGTCTCTGCTGTACTGCAGTTCTTATAATGGGGTTCAGACTATGGAGAGTTGGGCTGCTGTATTTTGATCCAAGAGTAGGATAACTTTACCTGCCATATTATGTCCAGTAATGGAATGATACTATACATTTACTTAAGTATTGTACTGAAGAAAAATGTGTAGGTCCTTTTCTTAACTTCTTTCATTTTTTGCTACTTTATGCATCTACTCCCCTACATTTCAAAGGCCAACATTGTTTTGTTTTTCTCCACTACAGTAGAGCTAGTTACTAATTACTTTTCAGATTAAGATTTTCCAAACAAAACCTACATTGAGCTTATAAAATATGTAACATTTTAGGTAAAACTATTCAACAGTATGTGGTTACGATAACTCCAACATGACCAGCTAAAACATCAGAACGCTTCTACTACATTAATACAAAAATAATAATAATTCAATGTTATATTATATAATAATAACAGTGACGGGCTACTCATCTAGTATAAGGAATACTTTTACTTTTTATTTGATTGTAATTTTTCTGATGATATCTTTTAACTTTTACATAAGTAACATTTTCAAGGCAGGACTTTTTCTGGATTAGCCCATTGTGACATTGCTACTTTTATATTCACATGGATGAAGCATTCTGATCCCTTAATGAAACATAGCAGTTAAATCCACCACTGTCCTATTTAGAAAATAACTAGCAAATGTCTATGAGTAAATTACGAGTGTATACCATTGTGTCAAATTGTTGATATTTCCCGTTTCTTTCAGGTGCTGCTAGATGTTTTTGTTGCTGTCCACTGATTATTGAGTGTCTGTAACGCAGTGAGGAGGGGAGCGCCGAGGTGACGTCATGGTGAACCACATCCACAGCAGCAGGAGGGGTGAGGTGGCCAGCCGCTGATCCACCGGTATCATGGCTTCCTAACAGGAGGGGGAAGTGATTGAGAGCAAAACAAGGATCTTTGTTGAATGCCCGACATATAATCGCCCTTTCCCGAACCTGAGCTTGGGACAGAGGGGCTGGGCCTCCCTTTTCGCCCCCCACGGCCGCTCCTGGGATCCAGGACATACTTTAATTTTATTTGTGAATTTCCATTCGTAAACCGTGGAAGATGGCCGACCCGGCGGAGTGCACCATCAAAGTGATGTGCCGTTTTAGGCCCCTGAACAGCTCAGAGGTGACCAGAGGCGACAAATACATACCCAAGTTTCAAGGGGAAGAGACCGTTGTAATCGGGGTGAGTTTTTTGGGTTGCTACCTATTCGACAACCCTCTGTCAGCAGTACGCCATTTTTTGATTGTCTTGTAGCTACGGTACTTAGCACTTAAACGCTAGCGTGTTAGCTAGCGTTAGCAAGGGTTGACCTGTTCACCGTTGCGTTGTTCCACTGGCCCTTACTTGCAGCCAACTTCTGGCGCCACCTAAACATTCAGTTACATGTAACTCGTGAGTTATTCGCTCTCCGGTTCGTTGACAGTCCACAGCAGCATTCAGTTTTACATTAAAAAAAAAACAGTCTTATTGCTGTTCTCCTAAAATGCCTCTACTCGCAGTTGCCCTGTCACGGCTAGCGAGCTGTCATTCAACAAAGCCACAAACACATTGGCTGGCACTGGTTAAAATGTCGCCAGCGTTCGCCTGCCAATCCTGCACGCTATTCACCACATTATTACCACTCCATTAATTAATACGTAGCTGTGCATCTGTAACGATAAAGCTATTAATTATGAACAGTTTGCGTCAGCATAAAGCGTAAGCCAGCTTTGATTTAGAAGTGGCTAACAGACTGTGGGCTAGCAGGCTAGGCCAGCTGGTAGTTGACAGATTAGCCGGCCTTGGCTAGCTGGCTAGTTTTAATACCATTGCTTAATTAAAGCTAACATTAGCTAGCTGACCAGCTGCCTACACAACCAACCCTTTAGTAGAGAGGTTTGAAATTACTCAAAGGATTGAATATAGCATAGAATGAAAACATGCTTGTTGGGCATAGGAAACAGACAATGGTAACGTCAAAATAATGTCAGTGGATATGTCAAATTAAATGCGGGTCAGTGGTATTCTCTTGGCCCTCAGTGACTGAATACTTTACAGTTAATAACCCAACAGGTTCAAATGCATATTCAACGTTTAGCGAAAATACTTAATCTGTTTTCTTTTAATATGCATGGTCAGTTTGGGATCAAACCAAAGTTTGTTGTCTTTGGTGTAATTAACCTCTAGTGATACAGACCCCTCCTGCACTTGATAAGGATAATGACATGGACATAGTTTCCACTATGACAAACGAAGGAAATGCCTTTACTAATGCTCTGCCATGTTACGGTACTAAATCAACAAATAATTTGTCCTGACATCAGTTAGAAAATGCTGTGCACTTGATGCTCTGTCATCTCACGATTAGACGTGTCTTAAAAAGACACTTTTTGTAAAAACAGGGTTTGTGCCATTGCGTGCCTGTATATGCACTTAAAATCATGCACTAAAAGAAACAGCGTGGTCTTTTCATGTTCCTCCATGACTGTAGTAATTAGGAAGCATAACAACGGCATTTAAGCCTGGCTGACATCACAAGTTTGTACATGCTAACTGTGCAAAAGCCAATGGGCTATCATTTGAAAACAATCCTGGTTAAACATTAGGTTTCCTTGGCGACCAACTTCTATTTTCTTTGTGGACTTTGGTGTCTTTGCTCACCTGAGAGAGCTTACAAGGCAATAGAAACTGATCTTGAATTCCTTTTATGAAGTTTCAAGATTTGGCTGAGTGGATATGAATCACATCCTTAGGTGGTGAATTTAGAATACAACTAGACTATTCATTTCCTGTCATGCAAAACAGAGAAGACCGTTGAATCTGTGGTGACTTCTTGAATACTTTTGCTTACGCTGACTTCAGGCCTTTAACTAATCGCATTGTACGGTCTGTGCCCGTCAGGCATGGTGGGGCCCAGCCCAGTTCAGAGTGCCAGTCATAGTGCCAAAATACCAGTGCACATTGTGAAGGACGCAAGTGTTGCAGGCCAGTCACCTCTGCTGATGTATCTGCTTCGAGAAGTACAACACGTACAGTGCTCTTAAGCAGCAGCACGGGCCTCCTGGGTATAATCCCCTTGTGTTTTCTCTCCTGGTAACCAGCTGTTCGACCAATCAGAGCAGACAGTTGGTCGTGCGCTGGGCAATCTCTCCGGGTGGGGAGGGTAATTATTATGGTGATGTACTTTGTTTTGCAGATGCTCCATCCATGGTGACTGACTCACTTAGCTCATATTTTTATCCAATTTGAAACAATCTAGGGCGTGGACCCTGTATAAGGGTAGCCTCAACAGCTGTGCTTGGCCAGTGGTGAAGCTGACCACGCTGCATGTTGTAAATAAGTCTTCACCATGGCAGGCCTTGGTGAAGCTGCCTTAATACTCACATATATTCATTGAGGGTCGCATATTCCTGCAGTACGCTCTTACTCAGCTGTGGCTCACTTTAAAGTCCTGCCAGACTTCTGCAGAAAAGGGAGGGAGATGTAGTTTCCAGATGAGGTAGTATGGGTGTTGTAATTAGCTCGGTTTGCCAGTGCCAGCAGGTGAATTATTTATGCATCTGCTACTTCCCACACAGTTTAGCATATAAAAGTTCAGGTCATTACACCATGCTTTGCAGTCACATGTGCTATTTGCATACAGTAGAGACGCCCGGCAATAACACGACTGAGCTACTTTTAGACCGCTTGGCGGTGGAGGTGCGTGAGAGATAATAGGAAAGAAAAGGATTAGAGCGGTAAATAAGTGTTTCTATTTACCTGTTTTCCCTAGCAGCACAAATCCAATTACATTTCATGCATCATACAACATGTATCATGTGGAAGCTGCAGAATAACTTTGGACTGTGTGTTACCATTTCTCCTGAATAACTTAGCCTGGGTGAGTATTATAACAAAGTCATCAGAAAGCAGGAACATGACAGAGCACTTATTAATGCTCTAACAATGCTTTTTACTGTAATTACATTTTCAGCAAGCAATCCCATTAGTCTGAGGTGTAGCTAACGAGGCCAGGAGCAGCAGTAACGATGAGGACTTTAAACTCGGGCTGTGCTATTGTTTGCTGACATTGTCTGGCAGCTTTGATAGTGGCTCAGCGCTCATGATCTGGGCAGGGTTAATTGCCAGCGTGTAGCTTGCCGGAGTGAATCATCAATGTCTTGGGATGCTGCTGGTCTGCGTTGCACAGAGGTGTGCTTTAGATGTGACCGTCTCTCGGGGGGGGGGGGGATTATGAGCCAGAGTGAAAATTTAGGACATTTCATCTGTTAGTATTCTGAATAATTCTTGTACTGTAATGCCAGGCAGTAATATATTTATGGTTTCACCATGAGTTATGAATGTGTTTATGGTCCTAAATGAGAAAGCTGTTATCGATGTCCTCTCCAAGGTGACACCAGCTGCTTAACAACGTTCTCAGCCTTCTCCTGCTCTTACAGGTGTCAACACCTAAATCTGACAATAACTAATCTATTTGCATTAACTAAGGCATGTATAAGTTTTGCAAAATGTGGTTTTACTTAAACTCTTGAAACAACATGCCACCCTCCCATCAGCCTGCGAAGAGATGAGTCAACTGGGACTTCAAACCTCCAAAGACAGTGTGCCATCCCAGATGAACCTCAGAATTGCTTGTAGCATCAGTTTTATTACCCTGCGGTTGCTTCTTAAATCCAGCTATTGATTGCTGTCTCTCTGGAGTTGTGCTTTAAAATTTTGACTGGCCCATGGGATATCACAATCAGCTACACTCTGGCTTTTCAGCCAGTGGTAAAAGCTCAGCATGTAGTTTAGTTAATTATGTGCTGAGATTGTTGGAGGGGAGTTCAAATGTGATGAGATAAGCTGTTATCAGGAGAGCTAACTTTCATAGGTTAACTAGAATGCAGGGTGCACTCTGGGTGAGGTATATTTCTATTACTAGTAGGTTATTTCTTTCTCTACTTTATTTTCCACCTTATTTTAGTGCATACTCACCAATGTGCTGCGTGTGCATGTGTGTGTGCGTGGAAAAGAGAAATGGAACGTCAGTTCTCTTTTCCCCACACTGTGTCTGCTCTGCTGACTTTCTCCATCGGCAGTACATTTTATAATGTCACAGAAAAGACACAGAACTCTTCTTTTGGATTTTTCCAGCCGCGATTCTGTTTTCACAGCAGCAGGTGCACCACATGTTGAAGAGGCTCATTAATGACGCAGCCTATCGAAACAATCAAAACCAACGTGGTACTGAATGACATCTGCACCAGTGTGTGTTCACTGTTGCTTTACCTGGTCCGTGCTTGTAAATATCACTGTTGTCCGTGTCTTGTAACGTAATACCAGATAAATGCTAAAAACGGGTCGCCAAATATACTATGGCGACCGTTAATATACCTGGGCAGTAGGGCTGCACAATTTGGAGAAAAGGCCATATTGCGATTATTGTGGACAATATTGCGATTCGATATTGATGGAACAAATGGTACTACGAGTCTACTAGCTTGAAAATGCACAAAGTACTGAGATTTTGAAATGTGTATTTCTCCACTTGAACAAAGTTAAACTATATTTATAACAATAACTAGTAAAACAGAACTAGAGGATATTGGCACACTGGCATCGTGATCTGGCTAAATCTGCATCTGTCCACTGCAGAGACACTATCCACAACCTGGAGGAGGAACTAGTATACATGACTAAATTAGTATATAACATTATAATATTAAATAAAGAGTGTAATGTTCAGTTAAAAGTATACTCTTAGTAGCCTATTCCAATAATGTATTAATCACTATTTTTATTGTAATTTCATATAATAGATTACTATTTTACCACTAGTTGAATATGAAATCCAGATACAGTAATTTAATTTACGTGGGTTGTTTTTATTTATTTAATCCTTGTGCAAGAAAAAATATATTGGTCTCTAATTTGTTAATGCTACGTACTAACTTGTCAATAATCATATTGTATAACATTTGAAAGTTTGCTGTAGCACAATAAACCTTTTTTTAATGTCCCGCCCCATTCAGGCTGTGGTTGGTCAGCTTTATGAAAAGTTAAAAATGTTGAACAACAAAAGGCACCAATACAGCTAATGCGAGCTAAACCCAAAACCTTATCTTTTCTTCTGTCTTACGGCTTCATCTGCCGACGACACGTAGGACTAACTGTGTCTGTCACAGAGCGACTGGAGCTCCGGCATTTCTCTCGGTGCTCCGGTGGCGAGTCCGATTTATGTTTTGAACGATTAGTGGCGGGGCGGGGGAGGATGTTATGGTAGGTTGTTGTCTTAAAATATACTGGCATACTGCTTATGAATAATTTTTCTGATTGCACGTAGGCCTATCTGTTTTTAGAGGCACATGTGAGAGCCCGGTGTGGATAATGAACAAACTGCAGTGCACAGAGAAGAGAGTGTGACCCTCACTTTGTGTTTTATTAAATTGCACCCATTTTGCGGTTATGTAATCGCACATTAGGGCTGCACGATATTGGAAAAAACTCACATTGCAATATTTTTCTTTTCTGCGATATATATATATATTGCGATATGAAAAAATACAGGAATTTTCATCAGATTACTTCAGTTGCTGTATTTGAAAATAATTAAGCACAAATTTGGACTTAATATTTTATTAAGATGTTTATTTGTTGAGGAAAAAGGACTGAAAAAAGTTTTTTACTTATTTTTACGTGTGCATATTTGTTGACAAAGTTTTATCATAATTGTTTTCAATGTTCTACCTCAGATTTGTGAAGTGATTCACTGTTTGTGTTGACCATAAAGAAAAGTTTAAACCCCAATTACTCATCAGGTTTCTTCAGCTTTCACTAAGGGGCAAAAATCTGCCTTTAAACTCGAAAGAAATAACGATTTGATACGTATCGTGATAATTATCAATATTGAAAGATATGAAACCTTTTTATCGTGATAACATTTTTGGCCATATCATCCAGCCCTACTGTGCATGCAGAGCCTGCTCGTCTCTCACTAGTTACAAACTGTGTTGTCAGTTGTATTATTTTTCTCTGTTCTTCTGTTATTCTTATATAACTTGCATATTTATATATTTCTACATCTTGCGATGATGATGCTCTGGCGATATAGTTTGCAGCCCTATCGGACATGACGAAATCGCGACTGCCATTGCGATTAGATTAATCATGCAGCCCTACTGGCCAGCCCGCCCATGTGACCTCTATATGTGGGAAACACTTCCATTGGTCATGAAGAATGCATAACATCCTGTCTGCTAAAGAATTTTTCTAGGGGAACACTATCTATTCCATGCTTGGTGGTGAACTAATGTTGAATGGCTTTTGTGTTTGTCACTTGGTGAAAGAAAGTAGTACACACAGATCGGTTTACAAAACGTGTCACAGATTATTATCGTGAATGAGGTTACACAATAATGGGGTTTGTTTCTATAGCTGTTACTCACTCACTCACTGACTCTTCTTCTCTTAATTCTAGGGCAAACCGTACATGTTCGACAGAGTGTTTCAGTCAAATACAACACAGGAACAAGTATACAATGCCTGCGCCCAGAAGATTGTTAAAGGTGAGGATTCACTTACTGACAGACTTATTATTTAGTGGCTTGTACAAAATGAAACCAGCCCAACCTTTTTTTTTTAAATCTTGACTTAAATACAAAAATACCCTTTGAAACCTTGCTTCAACAAGTTCTGTGCGGTGTCTTGTAGATGTCCTGGATGGATACAATGGAACAATCTTTGCATACGGGCAGACATCATCTGGCAAAACGCACACCATGGAGGTGAGGACAACTTGTTTATTCATTTATCTTCGAATGAAGTGCATTTTGTTTTCGAATCGAAACCTTCACATCATTACATTGAATTTATTTGCTCTCTGTTTGCAGGGGAATCTCCATGACACAGATGCAATGGGTATCATCCCCAGGATAGTGCAAGATATCTTCAACTACATCTATTCCATGGATGAAAACCTGGAGTTTCATATTAAAGTAAGCAGTCAGAGGGTGCAAGCTGTGCCGCCACCACCAGCGGAGTAGCAGAATGCTGCAGCAGTTAGACAGCAATGTCTCTCTGCAAAAATAAAATAAAAAATTGAATCCAACACTTCAAACTCCACTTTCAGATGATAAAATCCGAAATTTATGGCTGACCAACACAATAAAAACAGAAGTTGTGGGTGCAAGCGACAAGCTTCGTATTTCCTGTGTAGCAGTCTGCCATTACTAAGCATTTTTCTCGTGATGGAGGAGGCTGAGGTGTAACATGATGTGCTGCATCATATTTCCTGACTGGCTCTCCAACATGTCTGTTGATCTCTACTCTTGCATTACAACACATGGCCAAAGTTTAACTCTGAATATCTGCAAGGCAAGAAATAAATTCAATTATTGAAGGAAAGTAAAATAAATAAATAAATTAGTAAACATGCTCAAAACACCTCCCCACATAGTTTTTTCCCCCTCTGCCTCTTGGGTTTTTCCTTATTTGTAATAATTAAAAATGAATGATATATTTGTCTTTTGTGTATTAAAAAAAGTAAAACAAAATGTCTTAATCTTACTGTGTTGCTGTTTTTTCCTATGCAGTGAAGAAGGCAACCTCTGATTTGTATTTTGATTCTATAATTTGATCTCTTAGCTAGATTGCTAAATAATGAGGTTCTTTCTCTGTTCACAGGTTTCATATTTTGAAATTTACTTAGACAAGATCCGGGACCTTTTGGATGGTAAGTGGCTACTGTGGTGCAGTGAACGCTGTACTCCTCGTCTCTCCTAGTTGTAACCGACACCGATAACAGACAGAACGAGCTGCTAAACGCCTGTGAAACATCAAGACAATTAAGAGCATCTGTGTGCTGAACATGATGGAGGGGCGTGTTAGCTATAAACGCACTGACTTACTGATTTTCTTAACTGTCTGTCTGATGGGTGTCAAATTGAGCTACAGAAAATGAAAACTTCTATAATAAATACTAACTTCTAAATATCTGTTATATTGTACCTTAAAGATCCCATTTTACCCAGTTCATATGATGTTGCTGTTTGCAGGTAAATTTAGTTCAATAAAAGGAAAGTTATTAAATTAATTTCAAGATTGTCCCCCACAAATACTTGTTGTACTTGTTATATAAACCTGCTAAGTGGAAGTCTTCCTGTCTATATACATTTTTAAATGTCAACTGTGTGAGGCAGTAAAAGATTTGTACAGTACCCCACGTGTTTCCCTGACACCTTCTTTCCTCTCATCTCCAGTGTCCAAGACCAATCTGTCAGTGCATGAAGACAAAAACAGAGTACCCTACGTCAAGGTGAGACCTAACCTCCTGTCACATGTCAAGTATCCGGTAAAACTTGTTTATGAAGGCCAATAATCTCACCTCACATTCTACTGTTCTGTAAAGGGCTGCACTGAGAGATTTGTCTGCAGCCCAGAGGAGGTCATGGATACAATTGATGAAGGCAAATCAAACAGACATGTAGCCGTTACAAGTAAGATACCACCCTGTTGTTTTACAGCAAAATGTCTAACAAATCTATTGACCATTAAATGTAGATTTTGCATTTTTGAGGCTGATACATTTAGACTACGTGGGTTTCATTTCTCTTTTAGACATGAACGAGCACAGCTCCAGGAGTCACAGTATTTTCCTGATAAACGTCAAACAGGAGAACACCCAGACAGAGCAGAAGCTCAGCGGCAAACTTTACCTGGTGGATCTGGCTGGCAGTGAAAAGGTACAGAGAATCAAAGGAAAGCTTAAACCATCAGATGTCTTTGATTTGGCATAGTCATTATTTTGTGATTTAAGTTTTTGGTAAACCCATTTCCCCTGTATTGTCTTACCTGGGTTGGGTTCAGAGTTTGTTCTTTGCCTTAAACACTGCGCAGCACCTTGTTGAGGTTATTGTCTGTGTCATTTTCAGGTCAGTAAAACAGGAGCAGAGGGAGCTGTGCTGGATGAAGCCAAAAACATCAACAAGTCTCTGTCGTCTCTGGGAAATGTCATCTCTGCTCTGGCTGAAGGAACGGTCAGTAACTCTGCTTCAACTCTCTTTCCTTGTAAAGGCTTTGGTATTGTTTCTTATTGTTTTCTCTGGGTTGTTTCCCCCCTTGGTGGGATTCGTTTGGGCAGGCGTGAAAAAAGTAATCACACTCCAGTGCAGACCAAAACATCCGCACCAAGACCCTTGAGAGGAGGAGGTCTCGGTCCGGTCCCAAATGAACTCTGGAGTGATGGGAACGTGATCCGACCCTACTAACATAAACTACCCGTCAACACATCACATTTAGCGAACACGTCTTCGGTTTAACATGTTGACAGTTAGCATGTCTCAATATTAGCTTCCTTGTTCTGCTCAGTTGGCTGAAGGCAGCTCGTCGTCTTTGGGGAAGTGTGAAGTAGTATTTTCAAGACGTTACATTGAAGTGCTTTTGGCATTCTGCTGGTATCGTCTTTCCTGGTATATTTGGTTTTGGTTATTTGTGTGCATAAAGAAACTGAACCAGCAATAGGTGTGAAAACACCATTAAATCTGTGCGGGGAGTTATGGCGATCCATTTGTTGAATATGTGTTCTGTGGGTTTTGGTCTATTCATTTTTACTGTGTGTACAAGTGAATAATCTGGTGAGATAATTGAGTCCTAATTGAGGTTACTGTGACAGCTAATCTGCCAGGCCAGTTAAGCTTTAATCTTTACATTAGAACATAATAATGTTGCTACAACCTTGTGATGTTTTTATCGCATTTTGAAATTACAGACATTACTGTTAATGTAGCAGACATAAGGGATGTCTACTGTTTAGCAGCTGCACAGCCCAGAGCTAGGTGTCCATCTGGAAAACCAGCAGCTTTGTCAGTTATTTTAATGTGAATGGGCCATTTTCAGCCATCTACAGGTCCTTTGTGCTGCAGAAATAACTTGAGCAGATAAAAAACTTTCCTCCAAGCAGTGTTTTGTTTTAGCCGCTTCATAGTGATTTCACACTTTTCACTTTAATCAACAATTGGTTAGTTCTAAGGTCCCTTCGCTCTGTAAACAACCTAGGGCGGACAGCTGCTGATATAATTGTGATGGTCTGAAACAAATGAGCTATTGTACTGAGTTGTCTCACTCCCGACTGTGCATAGTGGTGCCTAAAGATTTAAAGCAGACTGCTGCTGCTGCTTGGCTGTATTTATCAATACCCGCAATATATCAAGTTTTCGTTTAGCTGCTGTCTAGTTTTGCTAAACTCATGAGAACTGTAACTGAAGCCATAACATCCTGTTGGCTCAGTGCTGGTGAAAGCACAGGCCTCTCCTTAGGTTTCAGGGCAGCAGCAGCATGTTTAAGTGTTTGTTCCTAGCTTAGAGACTACCATACTTTTATTTTGTATAGTTTTCCTCTGGGGACTGCCACAAAGGGTATTATTGTAAAATAGTTCATATGAGTGTATTTATCCTTGTGATGCTATCAGAGGTGTGGGGAACCGTGATTTGCTTTGTAAGAGGTGTTTTATGTCTTTGGCCAATTGATGAGATTTTCTCCGACTCTGTAGGGTCCACTAGATTCAGCTCATTTGAGGTCTGCTCATTAAGTTTTCCGCTATGTATTTTTGTGTACCCTAGGCCTACATCCCTTACCGAGACAGCAAGATGACCCGTATCCTGCAGGACTCACTAGGTGGTAATTGTCGAACCACTATAGTGATCTGCTGCTCGCCTTCCTCCTACAATGAGGCTGAAACCAAATCCACCCTCATGTTCGGACAAAGGTTGGTAGGCGCAAACAAGCCACACTGCTCTATTCAATTACTTCAGTTTGACATAGAAATACTATTTAATTGTGATCCCCATTTTTTCATTAATAATTTTAAAAAAGAGTGTAGAAAGGGTTCGGAAAGCCATATGTGTAGTAATCATTGTCACAGTTGGTCAGTGATGGTTCAAGCTTTCATCCTTTCATGGAGTGGAATAAAATCTGTTCTTTTCTACATCCAGAGCAAAGACCATCAAGAACACTGTCGTTGTGAACATCGAGCTGACGGCAGAGCAATGGAAGCAGAAGTATGAGCGGGAGAAGGAGAAGAATAAGACCCTGAGGAACACCGTCACCTGGCTGGAGAACGAGCTCAACCGCTGGAGGAATGGTGAGGACATGGACTCCACCTTATTCCTTATTCCACCTTATTCGTTTTGATTCTGTCTGTTGCAGTTGTGGTTCCAGTGCATGCTGCAATGCCAGAAGCAGATTTTGCATTACTTTCCTACTTTAGGAAGCATCAGTACACTTGTTTGTATGGGTGTAATGCATTAACACCCAGATGTGATGTTACTTGTCTCTTTGTGGTCACAGACTGCGAACTACACATAATTTGAAAGGCCAGTTTTGGCAAAGAGTGTATTGGGGACAACTTAGTGGGGTTTTGTGTGTTTTGTTTGGGTAGTACAAATACATTTTTTTCACACCATCTGCTCATACTTAACGTGTGTGTGCTCCCGCCTCAGGTGAGAGCGTGCCAGTGGAGGAGCAGTTTGACAAGGAGAAGGCCAACGCCGAGGTGCAGGCCCTGGACAACATACTGAACGACAAGCCGGCCTCCACGCCAAACGTGCCGGGTGTTCGCCTCACCGACGTGGAGAAGGACAAGTGTGAGGCTGAGCTGGCCAAGCTTTACAAACAGCTGGATGATAAGGTGAGGGAGAGAGTTTGTCATAAAATATCAAAATGACACATGTAGGTTATTTGGAGGGAAATGGATCCAATCTGTAGAAAAAAGAACTAACATGAAGATTAGCTAAAGACTGATTGAGTCCTTCAGACGTCCCTCTTCTGCCTCAAGCTTCCCATTGAAATGAGATTAGGGAGAATCAAGGCAACTGTTCGATTCCTACGTCTTTCTGCTGTTCTTCGTGTCGTAGGCCGCCAGAGAGATTCTCATATGTAAATGTTAATCCATAATATGTCACGTACTGTTAGATGTTCCGTTGGCTGGTCTGACAAAATGCATGGATGCTACACCCTGAAGAACGAGACCACTTTGAGAATTTACATTTCGTAGTTGGTGGATGTCTTTGAGCCTGATTTGACTGCCAGTCTTACAGTCGAATCTTCGCAGAGAATTTCTTAGTTGGAGGACACCCCTTGTATATATTTACTTTACAGAGGTTCATCAAGTCAGATAATGCTGAACTCCTGCTGATTTTCAGATTCAAAGAATAGTGTTCCTTATTTTGTTTATTTATTTACCTAAGAGGGAAGAAATTCTCATTCACAGCACTGTACATCTGCAATGCTTTCTTTAACAGTTGTCTGTCACCTTGGATCTAGTGTCTCCAGTGATGCCTACACTTCCTGGTGTGAATACTAATGTTGCTTTGTGTCTCTGTACTTTACAGGATGAGGAAATCAATCAGCAGAGCCAGCTGGCTGAGAAGCTGAAGCAGCAGATGCTGGACCAGGATGAGGTGAGTGCTGGAGGTCCAACAGGTGGAGGGAAGGAGCAGGTGCAGAGTCAACTCTTGATCTTTGTAGTTTCAGAGGTGTGAGGTAATACATAAGTAGGGATGCACCGATGTTCGTGTTCGGCCTAATGAGTTAAAAGACCGAATAAATTTTACTGAACATTATTGTTATGTTGACATGTCGGCATTGTGGAAGCATTTTAAAGTGTCTGAGAAAGACACAAAAATGGCCGTTTGCAGACACTGTTCTGCTGAATTGTCTTGTAGCACATCTACTCCATCTGTGGCTGACTTCTGAGAGAAGGCAACAAACGGTCTGACCCGCTTTGAGTGTTTCTGTCACTCTTTTGTGAGAAGGCATCTGGTTTTCAAAATAAGGTGTCTAAACATTATGGAAATAAGATTTCATTATATTTACAGAAAGTGTAAAACATATTACATCTGTCCATTTAACGTAAATGGACAGATGGACCCAGCCACCATAGTCTCTCCAAATCCTGGGAAACACTGAGTAAAAAGCACGTTTTGATTATTTAATTTATGCAATGGTAAAAAAAAAAAGTCAAAGTACTTGTACAGTATTCAGCAAATATTTTCATTATATTCGGTTTTGGCTTCGGCCAAGAATTTTCATTTCGGTGCATCCCTATACATTAGGCTTTCAGAGCTTGCACACTTTATTCATCAAAACATTATGAGTTCCTGTTTACCTGAAGTGAACGGCTGCGTGCATCTATCATCTTTTAAATACGAAAAAAGTCAGGATGATGGGATGTGTGTATGATGTAAAGTTTTTATTTATCCATATTGTAACAAAAAGAATAATGTCTGTATCCCTTATGCATTTGAAAACAAATAACATTGTTGCGCCTCTCTCTCACATTTGCAGCTTCTAGCCTCTTCCCGCCGCGATCATGAGAACCTCCAGGCAGAGCTGAACCGCCTGCAGGCAGAGAACGAGGCCTCCAAGGACGAAGTGAAGGAGGTGCTACAGGCTCTGGAGGAGCTGGCCGTCAACTATGACCAAAAGAGCCAGGAGGTGGAGGATAAAACCAAGGAGTTTGAGGCCATTAGCGAGGAGCTTAGCCAGAAATCGGTGAGCTGGAGAGAGATATCAGCATGCGTGTGCCTTTTATCTGTCCTGTGTTTTATGCAACATGCAGCACTGTAATTCTACTATAGAGGGATAAAAAGAACTACAGACACGCTTGCAGACTTGAATGCACATACTTACTGCTGCTACAGCAGAGCTGAGTATATTTCAGTCTCAGGATGTGCCTTATGTACAATATGTTAGATTTGTACCGGACAAAATAGTGGCACTTAAAATAAGTATCTTGCCATTGGGGGATTATGTAAAGCTGCACCGTTGACTAATAAATCCTTGTTAATTAGTAGAAATTAGTCCTTGTTAGTTAGTAGAAATGACAAGAAAAAGAGGAGAAAATAGCGTTGTGGTGTTTTGAAAACGATAAACGAGTGACAAAAAGTAGAATCCACACACTTTTCCCACATTGTTTTTTTTATTTTCTGTTACTTTTTTCCTCCATTGAAAACGATAGAACACACTGAAATAAAGAATGAATGTTCTCTCTCTCTCTCTCCCTCTCCCCCTGCAGTCCATCCTGTCGTCTCTGGACTCTGAGCTGCAGAAGCTGAAGGAGATGTCCAACCATCAGAAGAAGAGGGTGACCGAGATGATGTCTTCTCTGCTCAAAGACCTGGCTGAGATTGGCATCGCTGTGGGCAGTAATGACATCAAGGTACTGGTCTTGTGCATGGTTACACTATGGCTACAGTAGCAGCACCAGCCTCTAGGCATCCAGAGAGAGAAGAAGGAATCCTTGAACAGAAATAAAAATATGTTGAAAAGAATGTTTAGGCCCAGTGACTAAACATCATTCATATCTAGTACAATGTCAGTTGAGATACTCTGTTGATCAAATGCACGAGGATCTCTTCACCTCACTTCTTCCTCCGTGTGGTCATGTCTCCTCGACCTTCCTCTTCTGTCGTTCCAGCAACATGAGGGTGGCAGTGGCATGATAGATGAGGAGTTCACAGTGGCCCGTCTCTACATCAGTAAGATGAAGTCAGAAGTGAAGACAATGGTGAAACGCTGCAAGCAGCTGGAGAGCAGCCAGTCAGAGAGCAACAAGAAAATGGACGAAAATGAGAATGAGTTGGCTGCCTGCCAGCTGCGCATCTCCCAGGTACGTAGGAACTAACCACAAGCAATGTTGTGAAGTGAAAATGTAGTTTCATTTGTGAATCCTCATAAAGTTTGTATGTATAAACATCTGTTTTATTTCCTCTCCAGCATGAGGCTAAAATCAAGTCCCTGACTGAGTACCTGCACAACGTGGAGCAGAAGAAGAGGCAGCTGGAGGAGAACGTGGACTCTCTCAATGAGGAACTTGTCAAGCTCAGCGCTCAGGGTATGTCACTATTCGAGGACCGACCAGTAGATATATACGCAGTGACACCAGCGCTCACTTTAATTCTATTTCTATTCTATTGAAGGCAAATAAATCCTAACAGGACCTGTGGATTAAAAGTTAAACAGCCTTTCAGGTTGTTATCCAACTTGAAAAACTTGCTAGTTAGGTTTCAAAAACTGATCCTCAGTTGGAACCGGCTCAAAAATTATAAAAACTGGGCACTGATTACGAAACACTGTTTTCAGTTCCAGTCATTGATTCCTGATACTGACGTATTGTCTGTACAGTAAGGCAGACCACAGCAAGTGCTAAAAGGTATGCACAAGACTGCAGCAGTATGGAATAAGGTACTAATAATATAGTACTAAGTCTATAAAGGTCTGAATCAGCAGGAAAAAAATCAATAAGTGAAATACTAACTCCTAACTAATTCTCATATTCTTAGGGTTCAGTGAAGACTAAAATCCCTCTACTCCCATCTCATGACAACAAACCCTGTGTTTATGTTTTACAGAGAAAGTCCATGCTATGGAGAAAGAGAATGAGATCCAGACTGCCAATGAAGTCAAGGTATGTTCCTCGGCCCTCTTAAACAGTGGTGTGCAGTACAGCTTTGCAGATTCTACAAGGAAGAGAAAATGTATTTAAAATTCAACAACAATTCAAAACTCTGAATTTGAATTTGCATCCTAAATAAAAAGGGTAGCTTACATCTTGTTCCAGATACATTGTGTAAAGAATCCCAACATGCTAAATGTTTTGTCAACTTTTGCATAAACTTCACAGTATGTTGGTCTCTTTCCTGTGTTTTTGTAAATTATTCTTTCAAATAAATGGTATTCAAATGTGTGTGTGTGTGTGTGTGTGTGTGTGTGTGTGTGTGTTTTCAGGAAGCAGTGGAGAAGCAGATTCACTCCCACCGTGAAGCTCATCAGAAGCAGATCAGCAGCCTGAGAGATGAGCTGGACAACAAGGAGAAACTCATCACTGAGCTGCAGGAGTAAGACTTACATTTCATGGTCCCGTTAGAGATGTAGTGTGTTCACACAGACACAGATTCTGCCAGGAGGTTCATATAAACATGATGCTATGTTGCCTTTTCCAGTCTGAACCAGAAGATCATGCTGGAGCAGGAGAGGCTCAGAGTGGAGCACGAGAAACTCAAATCCACCGACCAGGAGAAGAGCCGCAAGCTGCACGAGCTTACGTACGTCACACACACACACACACTGACCACTGGTCACTCTTTTCACTCCGTTGAGTCAATATGGTTCTGGTTAATGGCCAAATACAATAAATGTGCTGCTGCTGTACAGCACCTGTTTACTGTCTGTAATTTCATACAAACTGCACTGTGGTGGATTTGAATTGTTGTTGTTTATGTTCAGGGTGATGCAGGACAGAAGGGAGCAGGCCAGACAGGACCTGAAGGGTCTGGAGGAGACAGTGGTGAGTTCATTTAAATCAGCTGATGATGAAAAGCACTTCACTGTGGCTCTGTGTCGTATCAGCTAGTGGTCTTGAATCTCTCTCCAAGTAGAATTTCATGTATGGTTGAGTTCTTGTTTACTGGTTGTATTGACACATTGCTGCAAGTCGTAAATGCCAAATGCCAAAGGAAATATCAGAGAAACACAAGTCAGACCAGTAATTTCCACTACATGTCTTTCATCAAGTTTTTTTTGTCGATTCAGCAGTATTTACAGTAAATTCATTATAATTACAATGAGTGTGAGAATTTGGAATTCAACACTCTGTAGTGAGCTTTTAAAAACAGGAACATCTGTTCACATTTGCTGTTGCAGTGAGTTTCTTACATCTAAATTTAATATATGTTGTGTTTCATTCTTGCATCTAACACGTCTTTTTCCTCTCAAGGCCAAGGAGCTGCAGACCCTGCACAACTTGAGGAAGCTCTTTGTCCAGGACTTGGCTACCAGAGTGAAAAAGGTGAACTGCTTATGATGTTTATTGTGTGCTTACCAAGAAAATCTCTTACGATTGCAATGAGTTGAGTTTGTTTAGCAAAAAACCAAAAGCATCAAAATTACACAGTAGTTCTGCCATGAACAGCAAAGCTGGCAGAATGACTGAAGTGGCACAGGTTAAATGATTAGGTTCCCTTGTGGGTTACTGAAGTTTTAATGCTTGTGTTTTATTTGTTTCGCAGAGTGCTGAAATGGACTCAGATGACACAGGTGGCAGCGCAGCACAGAAACAGAAAATCTCCTTTCTTGAGAACAATCTTGAGCAGCTCACCAAAGTTCACAAACAGGTAGGATTTTAATGTGCACACCAAGAAACAATTCAAAGAGTCTTTCTGTTTTAGGATTTCACATTACGCTTGTCTGATTTTTCTCCCTTTGCATCAGTCCTGCTTTTTTTCCCCCTTCTTGCTCTCTCTGCCTTATTTCAGTTTGCTCTCCCTTCTTCTCCTCGCTCTTATCTATCTGCCCGTTTTCCCCCTGTGTAGACTGAAGTAGAAACTTAAATGAAGGAAATGAATTTAAAACGATGTAAAATTGTCTCACAGCTGGTACGTGATAATGCAGACCTGCGCTGTGAGCTTCCTAAACTGGAAAAGCGTCTTCGTGCTACGGCTGAGCGGGTCAAGGCCCTGGAGTCTGCTCTGAAGGAGGCCAAGGAGAACGCCGCCCGCGACCGCAAGCGCTACCAGCAGGAGGTGGACCGCATCAAGGAGGCCGTCAGAGCCAAGAACATGGCCAGGAGGGGACATTCGGCTCAGATCGGTTAGTAGGGCTGGATGCCTACAACATTTGGCATTTTCTGTTATATGTAAACTTGAAAAGACTTCCCAAATTCTCCACCACCTACCTGATTGTCAGTTGCTTTCTCTGACTTGCGGTTAGATTTTATGTGTTTTTCTCATTAGACTGACAGAGGAGATCTTGGAAAACAGTATAATTACTTTCTTTGCCTGAAATCAAATGCAAATCTCCCCGACATCACAAGCACTGATGACTTCATCTGAAAAGGCTAATCCTCACTCTCCTCTCTCTCCCCTCCCGTCTCCAGCCAAGCCTATCCGGCCCGGGCAGCAGCCAGTGGCGTCTCCCACCCACCCCAACATCAACCGCAGCGGGGGAGGCTTCTACCAGAACAGTCAGACCGTGGCCATCAGGGGAGGAGGCAGCGGCAAACCAGACAAGAAGTAAGCGGAACACTGCAGAAACCAAGAGACTGCGTCTAGAAGCTTTTAATATTCTAGGTTTCTGTATGATGTGTTCAAGGATTCGCTTTGTTACATGTCATCATCCCCTCCTTAATTGCTCTCTATGTTTCCACTGTAAACCATCCCGTTAAAGCCAAATGCCATAACAATCTTTAAAAAAAAGTAAAAAATAAAATCTCTGAAGATAAAAGAGCATATATAACTGCCCTCTGTTAAAGTTACATTTGTTGTTCTCTGCATCTGGTGACTGACAGAGTGATAGAACCAGCTGAATATACAATACTTCCATTTTTATAGCAGTTTTTAAAACATGAAGTGAACAAACTTCTTTTACAGAATAAGAAAACGTCAACAAAGGAAGAATAAAACGATAAAGTTAGCGTTTACGCAATAATGAGGACTCATCAATAGAAGAAATAAATACAGAAATAAAGTTTTAAAATGTTGAAAGAGTTATTAAATGCTCATATGTATTAATATTCAGGTTTTCCTTGTTTCGCTTAAAATGAAATGAGTTTGACGTGTGTGTGGAGAAAGTATGACATTCACTAACAACATCCTTTTCTTTCTGTTCATCTGCAGCTGAATATAAGCGGGCTAGAGACGACCCCACTGAAGAAGCCGATATCACCCCCCACCCACCCCCCGCCCACCCCGACAACCTGTCATTCCATTACAGTGAACAGGCTCCCCGTCGCTGCTTTGGAGCCACGAGGGAGTTTCTGAAATATAAATATATATATAAATATTCCTGGCCTGTACAGCTCCAACCCCCACACCTCCACCCACTCCCCCCAGTTCTCATCATGACTTATATCTTTTTCTCTTAACTGGATATAATTAAAAAAAAGACAACCAATTTGATTTACAAAAATCAAGATAATATTCTTACCCACCGAACCAAACACAGTCTTGAGCGCAGCCTCGACGAGCGAAACCGCGCGCACCTCAAATGTGTAGCTTCGGTTTATGTTTTGCACAGTCTGTCGTCATCAGTCGTTGTCGTGCGAGTAGTTCTGCACTGTGCCAAGCTGAATGTAAGGGGTAGCAAGATCTGAAAAAATAAAAACAAACAAATAAAAACACAACCTAAAAATAAAAAAAAAGGAGACCCTACCACAAGAAATAGCTTGATCCTGTAGGCTAACCTCTGTACATTTCATCATTACTATTATTGGTTGTTAACCACACTTTTCTCTGGATAGATTTTACATGCTTCTTTAAGGAAAAAAAACTACAAAAAAAACTGTACGGTTTTGAATTGACTAGATGGCGTTGAGCACTACTGTTCTGTCCGGTCTTGTACAGATGTAAAACTGGCACTACTGCACACGCTTCCCTGGACAGAGAGAGGGAGAGAGAGAGAGAGAGAGAGAGAGAGCTGTATGGAAATAGGGGAACGGCTAAAAAGAAGGATTAAAAAAATGCATAGCCAAGACGTGCAACGGTGTACTGTAAGATGTATTTAACTAAATACCTGTGGAGGCCAATTGTTTTTATCATTAAGTTAAAATAAAACCTATACTCGTTATTGGTGACTTCATGAGAAGGATGTGAAGAATGTAGAAAGGAAGGAAGAGAATGATCCGGTTAACACAACAAACTTCCACCTTTTAGCATAGCCCATGCTAAGTAGCTAAATGTACTGTTTTTACTTCTCTCAGTGGTTAATAATGCTGTGTTTATGGACGCTATTTATATCTCTCTGCACATTGGAGCACATAGACTGCCGGCGTATAGGCTGAGGCCGCACACACAGCGCTTGTCCTGTCCTAGCTGGGTCGCTGTCACTCACTCATCTCCAGGACCGTTTTTTTTGTTTTGTTCTGTTTGATCCCTGTCCGTATCATGATTTCTTTTCAAGGGTGCCTCGCTTCAATAATATATATATTTTTTATGTCTTCCCTCACGCCCTTTTAGTTGGTTCTCATAGATTTAGGACCTGTAACTGTATGTGCCCCCTTGGTTGTAAATTTGCAGGAAGCAATATGTTTTGCTGGGTTCTATGTACTATACCTCTTTCACTGCTCCGTAGATCACATAGATGCATATTTGAAGGGGAACGGCGGGCGGCGGTGTAAAGTTGATGGGTCAGACCCTTGCTGCTGATCAGCAAGTCAGGAGAGCAGGGTCTAAAGTTGCCCAACAACCTTCTGTCATCATCTGCAGGAAGTGTTCATTTAACTTAATCTAGCCAGGGGGTGTAGAATTTACTTTGTTTTGTTGTCTTTGTGGTATTTTTTTTGTGTCATTTCATGATTTTCTTTTCTTTTTTCACTGTAATTCCCACCACAGCTTGTTTTTTGTTTTGTTTTTAATTAGTTTTAACCCTGTGATGAAGCCCCAGTGCATTGGCAAAGAGCTTGGAGTGGCTGTAACCCCAGCATGAGAACACTAACATCTTTTGCAAGTGCAATATACTGTAGAATACACTGTCTGTCAGGTGCAATCAAGCGGTGCTTGCAGCAGTAATCATGCCACACAGAGTCAAAGTCTTGCCTCTCTTCATTGTCAGCTTGTGATCCGCTAACTTTTGGTTCTCACTGTATTTTGTCAATGAGGGCTTCTTTCGCTGTCCTTTCTGAAAAGCTGGAACATGATACAGGAGTTTTTCTGGACCATATTCTAAAAGAAAGAGTATCTGCTACTGTACTGGACAGTAAAATCGCTGTCGACGACGAGATGGGCGGGCTTTACTGTCCAGCGCAGTAGTAGATTTTCAACTCAGTTTCAGCTTTTTAGAAATACAGATCAAAGGAACTTTGCAAAGTACATTTTTGTCTGAGACTAGTGGAACAGATTGAGCTGGTAAAAGGGGTATAGGATTTTGTCTTTTTCTCGTCAGATGTCATACTAAAACCTGTTATCTTGTAACAGGATCATTGGGTTTAAAAGCACTTCTTCAAAATACCTTCACTCAGAAAAACACTCCATATGTGGCTGTTTGACTTGGGGGGGAGGGGGTCCAAAACTCTGTAAATTGAACTGAAAGCAAGTAGTATTAAGTACTTTCTACAGTCTGCAGGGAGGAGTAGCTCCCCGGTATTTATGACAGGACAGTGTTTGGTGTCTATCGAGATGGTTTATTCCCTCTGTGTAATCTTCTAGATTAGTTAAGACTTTGCAGCATGGACCTCAAAATGTTTATCCTTTGACCTTGCACCAAAACTGGATATGAAATGGGGGAAAAAAGTTAATAAAAAACAGCAAAGAATATTTGTGTTGTTGACCTAAATTGAATTTTGCATTCATTCTAAATTTAAAAAAAACAAAGTGTAGCCACTTTTTTTATTACTGTGTAATAGTTGGTCAATTTTTAAATGGACAGTTTTGAGGATCCATCAGTGGACAAGGTACTGGATCATTCCTGGAGAACTGGGGCACAAATAGCAGGGCTCTGATATGGACAGAGATGGGAAGTTCATGAGATCACAGTTTTGGATTGATTGCATGATGTAAATGTATGTGTGATTAAATACTTATGAGAAAACACTTGCATCTCTCTGTCCTTTTTGTGTTTGGTTGTTTTGCAAGAGTGAAGCGAGAACAGAACAATACTGGGGCATCATGCTTAACAATGGATTTTCTGAAATCACTCGGATGAAGTTAATCTTGAAAAGTTTATTTTCAGAAGTCATGCACACCATATGGCCAATATTTCTCTGTACTTTTGGTTTGGGATTGGCCACTTAGTTCCAATTAAATTAAATCTTAATGCTACATCTTATAATTTGTATTTAAGACAATACTGTGCTTCCAACTTGGCAATAATTTGGGGAATGTTCTTTCTGATTTCAACTTGCTAATGGCCCTGTATACAAAACCAGGTCCATAAAGAAATTGTTAGGTTAGGTTAGGTGTGGAATAACTTGACTGGATTGCACAGATCCTGAATTCAACCCCATCCAGTAAACTAGGACACTGAGCCAGGCCCAACATCACTGTGGAGCCAGGTTCCAAAATTTGGTGGAAAGCCTGCAAACTAGAGGAGTGGATTCTTCTTTAACAAAAAGATGTTCAGCATTTACACGCAGGTGTAAAGACATACTTTTGGCCATGTAGTATTGATCAGGTTTGTGGTAATCATTTTGTTCCCTCTTGCCTTGGATTTATAAATAATTAATTGTTTTACATTATGATGTCATGTTTACTTGTGTGGACCACAGGCAGAGTATTTGCTACCTTGGTGGTGGCTAATGGTACACAAATAAATAACTAAATCTTACTTAGCACAAGGCCTACCTAGCCTGGATTTGTGTGAAGGTAACAAAATCCACCTAGCTACCCGCACCTCTGAAGCGGTAATGTATTTGTAGTTCTACTTTATAACCGTCAGGTGTCGCTGATTTTCCGTTTGCTCCCCGTAACACCTGAGGGCTCGGACCATAGACTGCAAATTAGACAAGAGCTCTCACTCTGAATATGCTTCCACTCCGAACAGAACCCAACTAATAATTTGATGGAAAAGAAAACCCAGCCAATTGATATCCACCGTTTGTAGTTAGTATTACATATATGACGACAGGTTGTAGTAGTAACAGTCAAATAAAACTGGTCAGATATCGGGTCTGACACATAGGTCTAACATTGCCCTCTAACAGGTTGGTCACCATGGTAACGCCGAAGTTCACACATTGTCGCCCGGAGCGCAAGGCGGGTCAGGTTTCCTCCTGAAAGAGCTGCGGAGTGATATCTCTTCGTAATAGGCGATATTTGCTTGAAGGTAGTTGCCAAAGTTGTCAGGGCAGGCGTGAGTCCGCGGGTACGAGCACTGCTGCGGATTACACCGGCCAGGAACGGACAGGAGAGTCGGGAGCGCCGCTGTCCGCCAATCCTCCCAAGTAAAGAACTACTTTTACACGGTAGTCTCGACAGGAAAGTTTACGGGAATTTAACCTCACCCGGGCCAATTTAAGTGCGTGTTCTTTTCTCCAAGGACTGTCTCACGCCAGGAGAGAAGGTAACGTACGTCAGGGTGCGGAGCTTTTGATTGCGGCAGTGTTTGGGACGCTGAGGAATGTTTAGCGAGGCAGCTAATTAGCTAGCTAACGTTAGCGACAGATTAGCTCCTGTAAAGCGAGACAGACGCGCAGACACGAGCTGTGACTCCCTTGCACAGCGTGAATATAAGTTACATGTAGGGCTTTTACTCCCTTACTGAAAGTGTACACAAGTATTCCTATATCTAAGAAAGTTCAAAGGAATGCTGTACAAATATCAGCAAGTGTAGTTAATCCCTTCAGGAATACTAGCTAAGGTAGCATCCCGTAGAAAATCAACGCCTGACAGGTGTATTTATTCCCTCTGCGGACTTTGTTTCAACCATAAAGTAGCTGTTAAGCAGCTAGCTAACCCAGACAGAAATATTACCTTAACGTTACATGTGTTTGTGTGTTAACTATGTGTTAATGACGATCTGTGTGAGAGGTTTGAAGAGATAAGGCCAGTCTTTGTGGTTAGAAAAATGGACTAGAAATGACAATAGATAATAATAAATAAAGATAATAGATATTTTTTTCGTTAGTCGAGCAATCACCGAGCCTGTAACGTTAACAACAATGAGAAAATGTCATGCTAATAGTGTACACTGTAGCACAAGGTACCTGTCTTTACTATTATGAAGCTCTTATTTGCCTGCTAATAAAAGTGATTAGTCACTTGACAGCTATTTGATTTGACATCAGTGTTGATTCGTAATTTAATCAACCAAAAGGCCATACGTTTGCTTTTGAATTAGGAAGATTTCTAATATATTCTATGATATTGTAAATAGAATATCACTTTTAGTTGGAATAACTTAATGTTGTCACCCTGGGCTCTGAAAACTGATGTTTTTTTGTGTTTTACTATTTTTATACAATTAGTCTAGTCATCAAAAGCAAAGTCAATATACTAACTGATAGTTGCAACTTTAAATTGGAGAATCATCTAAGTGTTTGAACACTCAATAAATCAGCATGTGGTTGTGATGCAACTTCTAGCTGGTGCATTGGTGTATTTACCGCCTGTAAGTGTGAGCAGAAGGATTTTCTGTATTGTTGAGAGGTGATGTCATGTTGAATTGGATTTGAAGTGGTGACCCTCCTACTGCTTGCCCTCATTCTGAAAATGAGCGACCTACCTGCCTCTAAACATGTCCCCTCTTTGTGTTTTATTCATGTTTTGTGTGTTCATTTCTGTCTTCTTTCAGGATGCACACATTAAGTGAGCTGCAGCTGGATGTGGTCTGTTGAAGTTTGACAGATTGTGGTTATGACAGTTGCAGGGGACGTTGGGGAGTTGAGTTTCGAGGAAAGTTGTGGTGAAAGGTGCCTAACTGGGACAGCCTGTGCTGAATCCAAGCTGTTTAGGGGAACGTGGACCTATTTTTGGTGTGACTACGTGCAAAAGCCACAGTGCAGCACTTTACTGGCTCCGCTTGTCCCTGATGTTAAACATTGTGACTTCGGTTTCCCATTTTAAAGCTTCAGTTCAACCCAGAAAACCCCCCACATTCTCTCACTCACTTACCCATCGTGATTTGAGCCATTCTGATGGCTTTTATTTGGTGCATCTGTCTCTACAACATTTGCTACAACCGCAATATAGAAGAGGTGAGTGGTGTGTTTGCTGTTCAAAGCATTGAAAAAATTACATTTGCAAAACTTAAAGGCAACACACATCTTAACAGAAACATGTTGTGGTTTGACAGAACAGTTTTCTAAAGGATTATTTCTTTGTTAGAGAGTAGTTCCAATAAAAACAGTTGACAGTGATGTTTGTGAATGAACTTGAGTAACCAGGAAAAAAAGTTGGCAGGTGACAACATTACTTAGAATGAGCTTAGTGAGCCTGATAACCGCCTCTCCAACCTCATTTCCCATCTCTTTAAACAGCTCCATAATGGGAGCGAAATTTGCTCTGTCTGATGAAAATAACTCACTCATAGTAATCACTGGCAGGCCGGCCCTGAATAGAAGCCGTCTGAACTTTGCTAACAAGTGTCATGTGAGACCAGAACAGTGACTCTGCTGCCCCCCTCACTTGTCTGTCCTTCCGTGGAAACATTTCATGCGGTGAAACAATGTTGGAAAACTCCTTCCAAGGTACCGCTTAGTGTTTTGCTGAGGCCTGACAAAATGGGAGGTTGTGTTTCCTACGTGTGCTGACAACGGCAGACTTTCCACCACATATCGGTTCAAACCGTCCCACACACAGCTCTTCAAGCTTCCCATCGTTTTATACTCTGTGTTACTCTATTTGTGGTGGTGGTTAGGAGGTTCTTTAAATAAATTAATATTAGAAAATACCGTATATAAGGTGCTCCACTGCAAATATTTTAAGGCCAAGTACTTTGTGACAAATAAATAACTGAACAACACAGTATGTAGGCCACAGCTAAATTGCTTGACATTGTGTCAAACAAATAACAAAGTAAATACAGTGAAGAAAATAAATGAGGCCCCCTTTTTCCTGAGAGAGCCTTTTATTCTGACCTGCCTACATGGTTGCTGCTGTCCTCTTCTCCTACACCTTTCTCTTCATTAACTACAGCTATCCCTTCCTGGCCCTGTTTTGCTGCTTCAGCTGCCGCAGCCGCTATTCAGGGGCCGTTCACAGACAGGTCTGTCTGAGCAAGTCGATGTGCTGCGTGCCTCTCTACAAAGAAATAACATTTTGCCTATTTTAAATAGTAAAAAAAGAAATTCTATACATGGTGGCCAATAAATAAACCCCACACAATGCAACCACAAATAAACTATTGTATGGGATGCACTGCCATCATGTCTTTGTAGATCTGGATGGTTTTATTCTTCTGACACACCCATCAAAGTCCACTGTAAATCTTATTACAGTCACATCAAATTAAGGTGCTCCCTCTAATTTTGCTGATTGGCCTCTGAGCAGATTTGCGCTGTCTGCTAAATAGCGATGGTGATGCTGGAGCTTAATCTAGACAGGAATAAGTGAAAGAGACAACAGCCCCCCCGGGCACTTAACCTTCTGCTTTTCAATATAAAATGTCTTAATTAATATGTGTGTCGTCTAGGGTAATGGCATTTTCAGAGCACCATTCATTTTATTAAATTGATATTGAAGCTAGGACATTATTTGGAAAGCAGCATTATTGTTTTGAAGGTAGAGGGACAAGATTGTTAAGTGTGACGTTTCATTGGCTTAAAAACAGTTACAACTAGCAATTACACTAAACATAGTTATAAACGCAACTCTTTTGTTTTTGCCCCATTCTTCATGACCTGAAGTCAAAGATCTAAGACTTTCTCTATGTACACAAAAGGCCTATTGCACGCTCCCTCAAAACTTGCGACATCTGTGCCATTGTGCTGTGTGATAGAACTGCACATCTTCGCGTGGCCTTTTATTGTGGCCAGCCTAAGGCACACCTGTGCAATACCCATGCTGCCTGATCGGCGTCTTGATATGCCACACCTGTGAGGAGGATGGATTATCTCGGCGAAGGAGAAGTGCTCGCTAACACAGATTTTGACAGATTTGTGAACAATATTTGAGAGAAATAGGCCTTTTGTGTACATAGAGAAAGTCTTAGATCTTTGACTTCAGCTCATGATGAATGGGAGCAAAAACAAAAGTGCTGTGTTTATAATTTTGTAAAGTGTATTCTCATTATTGTTTAAATCTGCTGATTATTTTCTCAAGAAAAGTAGCACATTTTGTTACATTTATGTTTGCATATTACAAAGTTTGTTAACAGTAGAGCCCGACTAATATGGGATTTTTAAGTCCGATACCGATCTCAATATTTGAGGATTTTAAAAGCTGATAGCCGATATATTGCAGATATTCTTTCCCCCCTTATTTTAAGAAACTCATCACGTAAACAAAGATTATCCCTAACCTCTTGAGACCTCATTTCGATACCATGACATAATGCAGTTTAAAAATAAACTTGTCTTGTTAGAAATAGATTTATTATAAAGTACTACTACTAATGAACATTAGATAGTGTATGTATTGTGGGGGCCAGCGAAACAGAAAGTATGAGAAATACCAATATAGTACTACTACTAAAAATAATAATAATACCATATATCATCTCTCATGTCATTGCTTTCATAATAATCATAAACAAGGCTCTCCTACTTACAGTGATGCAGAGGAAACGGTGCCCTTGAATTAATCTAATGCTACATGACTATCTACAATGAGGGCCTGCAACTGTGTGTTAGATACTTGTTCAGCTCACGTTTAATCATTTCTGACACGCCGACTGTAACTAGACGCACTACAATTTACCGTAATCGCTTATTTATGTTCGTCTCCTCCACTGATAAACACGGCATTAGCTTTGTGGCAATGAAAATGGGAGGGTTAGCAAGTCTGGTCTCCGAAGAGGAGCAGTGATGAGGGCAGTTTTTCTTTAAGTCAAGTAATTTACATGACAAAAGGCCAACTCACAGGGAACACTGGGTGTGAGAGCTACCAGGAGCTACTCACCAGCGTTCGTTGGAGGAGTGCAGTGGCTTGTATTATAGAGTTTAGGTAGATGGGTGCAGACCCAGTAGTCACGCTGTATGCAAGCATTAGTGAGTTGCTAGCCTATATATGACGAGGAGCTAAAGAGTGGTAACTGTGCAGTGAAATTTTGATATGTTGTTGATTGTGCTGTTGAGCCGAGAGAGTCAGGGCCTCCTGCTTATTCTTAATTTATTATTCCCAGGAGTTGAGAAGTACAGTAAAATAAGACTGTAGCAGGATTGACCAAACTGGTTTTGGGCAAACCGCTTGTGCTATGTTCATCACCGTGACAGATGTGTAATAAAGCATTCAGTGTAGCACAGATACAATCTTCAGTGGATGATGTGACTGAAGGCTGATTGAAAGCCCTGAAATATGGCTGCTCAGTTTTGGTTAAAATGCTGATCCTGATCATTTTGATGATGTTCATATAGGTTATTCCACATGTCTATAAGACAACAATGAGATAAAGAGAAACTAAACGCTGTCATCTTCCTCTTTGATCAGCCAGCCGAATTAGGAGGTCGCAGGTTAATGAAGAAGACTGCCAGCTCCGATCACTAATGCTTCACTAGTTCACTGTGCTGCTGTGAGCTGTGAATTGGCATCAGAGGCAGCATTTGCTTTAATTTGGCTAATGGACGTTCTGTGTAGCAAATAGATTTGGTCAGATTTCCCTCCGTTCCAGTTAGCCTGAACCAGTGTACCATGTAATCCATGGTGATTTTATCCCCGTATCAGGAGTAATCCACGGGCTGTTGACCTAATCACACCTAATCAGATCTTTTATTTAGCTAATGCATAACTGTAAAGGTAAACAGAGATGTCGTAGTAGTAGTATTGCATAATATCTGCCTAACCCACATTTACTATTAAACTACCACTTTTATGGGAACAGCACTTTAAAAGGATGTGCCCGTCATAAAGCCGCTAGCAAAGGGCGATGTTAATTTCGCTTATGTGTGTAGGATGTGGATACTTGGCAGGCCACGGTATGCGCATTATGGAATCGTCAGACTTTTACACTGGGTAAGAATAGGATGGCAAAATAATTCTCTAGAAATATGCTCCCCCAAATAGACCCATCAGGATTTTGTCTGTCTGACAGCTGCCACCGCTGCATAGACTTGGCGATAAAAGCCATTTGTGGTATGGTTGGTTTGGTGCCCAGTCTGCAGCCCTGCTGCTGGGTCTGTGTCTGTGTGTGCATAGTCAATAAAAAAGCAGGATTGTCCATTAAAGACAGTCATATTTTTGGTTATTTAGGCAACAGTCTCACTGAATGTGACTCACTGATGTGTGGGATTGTAATTAGGACTTGTCATGGTAATATCCTGCTTTAACTGCTACTGACGCTGTAATATCCTGCCGCTCCATCTAGATCAGATGACATCCAGCCAGACTGGACCACTTTCTTTGAAACCACTGTCTGGGGGTGAAATTCCATTGAATCTCATTTAATTTTGTTTTGGACGGTGAGGGGCAGAATAATTTTAGGAACGTCAAAGTGCGCCAATGTGTTTAGTTTTATTACAACAAGGACTGCTGTGTTCTGTCATGTTTTACTCTACCTTTGAATGTGGACTTTGTTGACTACTGCTGTTCCAAGTGACCATTACAATGTTATCTAAAATATTTTGCAGATTACATTCATGGGAATTTACTTGTTGGATTTTGTCAGTTATTGACATTTCAAAGCTTACAACTACTAGACCTTCGGTCCTGTTTTCATTCATCTCAGATGGATGATGTATGTATGAATGTGCCCAACAAGTGTCTGCACTGACTGCTAAGTGGGCCTTGCATGTTTACTTGCTTCCATTAAGGCACGTGTCTCATGTTGTCTTAAAAATGTCTTTTAAAATGTGTTTTAAAATGTCTGCGCAGTTGCAAACATTTCATTTGCTAGCTGCAGCAAAAGAAGTGCTAAATCTACATGTTAAGAATAAAAATGTAGTAAGGCCATAGACCACACTAAACGGAGCTTAAACAAGCTTGAACTCTTCAACTTGTTAGAGCATTAAATATATTTTTTTGCTATTATTACAACCCCATGCTCCAACTTGCACTAGTAGCAACTTTTTCTAGCAATATAGCACATGCGCATAGATAGCCTGAGGCAGTATATGGTACAATCTCATAATGTCACACTCCTGCCCACGGGAAAAATGTGTGCTGTAGATGTAATGAAACATTTTCTTATCTTTGGCCTCAAATTTTGTCTTTATTTGCCCCATGGATTGTTATTATTATTACTGAACTCAAGTCTGTGTGTCTTTTTAAACCAAGGTCAGGCTGCATCACATGCTTCTTCTGATCACTCTCAGTTGAGTAATTAGCATTTTTTTAAATGCTGTGTAAAAAAAAAAAGGGGAAAAAAAGAGACACATTAAAGCTCAGGTTGCTCAAGGTGTACTGAAGCCTCGCCTAATGTTGTAAGCGTGTGTGTGTGACGTCAGCAGGGAACTATGTGTGTGATTTGACTGATCACTCCGCTCAACATGTCTCAGTTGCTGTTCAACTTGTCGTTAGCAGACAGAGGAACAGAGTTAGACGCAGGAAAACAGAGATGCAGTGGGGGAGGAAGACCATGTGAGTCACATTACTGTCTCCCCTCCTTCTGTCTAACCTTATGTGCTGCTCTGAAGCTGTTCAGCCTTTTGAAGAGGATTAAAGCTCTGCAGTTTGTATCTTATTCATTTGTTCTGATTGGTTTGGTGAGTAATAGGCTTTCAAAGACAAGGTTGTCTGTGTGTTTGTTGTAGTGTGTTGTGTAAGAAGACAGAATAGGAAGAGGCATCTTTTCTGATTTATGAATATATTACCAAGGCTTAAGATGATAAACTGTTTTTTATACAACTTTTCCATTGTTATAGAGTAGAGCTGCAAGTAATGACTATTTTAATAGTCGATTAATCGATTTTTGAAACGAAAAATTGACTATTCAAAATTACACAGTGCCTCTTATTTAGTTATCAGCTTTTAAATTTAGTTTGAGATTATTTAAGGCATGTGCTAATTAACAATAAAGACTAACAACACACCGGGACAAACTGTCACTATATTTTTACACAAAGAAAGGAATAACTTCATGTATTACGTTTTCCAAATTTACAAACAATAATGACAAACAATAACAATTTTGTAGTAGACAAGTTTATAAAGTTCCCCATAAAATCAACACCTCACCAAACTCTTTTTTTTTTTTTTTAAGGGAGTCTGGTCAACTTTTCAAATGTTGCAGTTCACAACCTTTTTGGCCGAGTGCACACTTTGGAAGTTTTAGGTTCTGAAGGTTTAAATATCATCCCTGATGTTGCAAACTTTACTGTTCACTCCAGTAAGCTGACAGTGTTGCTACGGCCCGATGTCATGAACTTACCGATAATTAAATTTGTTGGCAACTAATTTAACCATCGATTTTTGTCGACTATTTCAATTATTCGTTGGACTGCTATTATAGAGCCTTGTTCCTTTGAATTTTCAGTTGATGAAATTTTAGTTTCCTTAGGTGACCGTATTGTCCTTGACTGTTGATGATCAGTATTGCTGCTGATGGGTGCTACCCAATTCTTCGTTTTCCTATTTTAAACAAAATGCTGATGTTGCTGCCAGAGATGTAAAACACAGCTTTAATTGTGCCGAAGGATTTTCCCAGAGTAAACGTGTACTTCCTGTGGAATTTACCTACTTCAGAGTTAAAATATGTAAAAAAAAAAATGGAAAGAAGACTTAATGTACAGCCTGACATGCTTTTATTATTTAGTGTTTCAAAAACCATCAATATGAAATTGTTCACAGAACGTGATGCTATTATCTGTTAGCTGCCTTTTTAGAGGAAACAAACTCAGAAATCTGTTTTATATTATTCCTTTGGAAATTTTTGCCTAATTGATAGCATACAGAAAGGAGGAAGAGAAAGATAAAAAAAAAAAAAAATTATTATTATATTATTTCTGCCCAAGAAACACTTTTAAGGCCCAGGTGTTGACTAAATCTAGATTGTGGAAGATAAACTGACAATATAAAATGGCAAAATATTTATATAGAATTGTGCTGGATACTGACTTTAGGACCTTGTTGTTGTTTCCCTCCAGCTCTGCTCAGGAAGCCATGCTAATAAATATGTTCCTCTTGCGGTGAGTTGCTTCGTGGACAGTCAGAGGCACCATGGCAGAACTGCCTATTGCCCCGGGCCAGGTCTACATCGAGGTGGAGTACGACTATGAATACAAGTCCAAAGACCGCCTCATTGCCATCCGCCAGGGGGAATGCTACATGCTGGTCAAAAAAACCAACAACGACTGGTGGCAGGTGAAGAAGGAGGTGGATACTAAAGCTTTCTATGTACCTGCTCAGTATGTCAGAGAAGTCCGCAAAGCCCTCATGCCACCTCCTAAACCTCTCCCCCATCCTCCGGCTGCCTCTGGAAACACACATACGCAAAGTGGGGCACAGTGGGTAAAGCCAACCAGTCTGGAGCTGGGACTCCACGACCGGCCCGCTGAGAACCTTCACAGACATGAGTCCAACTATCAGCGCTCACCCTCGGCACAAACCGCTTCTTCTGGGCACTTCAGTCCCCCCAGTCAGCGCAGGAACAGTAACCACCATCAGGCCCCAACCACTCCCACCGAGCACGAGCGAGCTCTGCCTGAAATCCTTGTCTCCGGTGGAGGCCCTCAGCCAGCCTACAAAGGAGGGTCCAGCACTCTACCCCGAAACCGAGCTCGATCCCCAGAGTTGAACGTGGACAGCACCCAACACTGTGACTCTGCAGGTGAAGAGAGACGCACCAACGACTCTGAGTCGGGAGACGAACTGAGCAGCAGTTCCACAGAACATCTGCAGGTAAAGTCATAGTTGTTTTTTGGGCTGTTGAAGGTTTTTACACACATAACCCTTGGCATTAGTTTAGGCTCAGAGACCCACTTTAAGTCCTCCAATCCAGGATCCGTGTTAGTTTAAACAGTCAAAGGCTTTAAAAATAAAAATCACAAATAAACTTGCCAAAAGAACTCATTAATATACAGTATGTGCTGTACTTTCTGCCTGTTCTTTTTATAGGTACATCATATGTCTGTATTGTTGGACCTGTAGTTTTGGAAGTTAGTCCCTTTTTCATTTGCTCGACATGTTTAGGTGATCCGATCCCTTGACCTGATTCTGAAAGTTTTGTAGAACGGGGGTGTGATTTGTCACTTCAGGCTCTAAAGCTACTGAGGTGGAGACGTGCAGCGTCAGTGAGATGGGGCTGCTGATTTGTGACTTGCGAGCCTGGTCAGTGGGTGTGTCTGTTCCTGAAATCATTAGCTCAGCCCGCTCCTGAACAAAAGCCAGTGAAAAAATAGAAACCGAGTCTGTGTTGTGCTGCCCTGGGGTGTAGACCTCCTTTCTTTTTTGTGAATAGAAAGGAGGGGATTGCAGTAAGTTGTGTTGATCTATAGAGTATTACTCTACAGTAAAGTTAGAAGGTTTCTTTTTACCTGAATACCAATGTAATATGTCATAAATATCAATTCTGAAACCGTACAATGACGCACAAGAATAGTCATCAAGCACAACCATTGCTTGCAAGGTTACTTGTGTTACTTGATATTTGACTTGGACAGATTTATGGCAGCTTAATTAAATAATAATAAGACTAATAATATAAACAATAGAAGTAGGTGTTGAGCAATAACTTGGCAGTAAGTGGCTTTCAATTTGCACATTTTACTTATCTGTATTATTTAACTTACAGATTGCACATTGTTACACAGTTAAAGCATAAAATATACAAAATAATACACAAGAAAGCCACATAGTCTGGGGTCACCCCTGAAATGGACCTTAAGAATCCACAACACATGTGGTCAAAATTTTAAGTAATACAAACCACAGTGCTCTCAAACTACTCCTAAAATGTAGGTTTTCTTGCCGTTGATTGAACTGAAAACACTCAGACAAAACTGACTGTTAAGTTATTTGTTCAGGTCACATGAAACACTCTGTCAACTTTACTTTCTGAAGCACTGATATCAGAGCGTCACACAGTGGCGTAAGCGCTGACTCAGTGTGATGTGTTGGTTATCTTAAAAGTGAGCATTTACAATTTTAAAGTCCGTATTTTCTCTGAAAGCAGCACAGCATACAATGGACTTCCTTCCTTCCTCAGTCATCCTGTGTGCCATGTAAATGGCAGGAGAAAGGTCAAAGTAGCCAAGCTGCTTTTGGTAATGTAGACAACCAGTAAACACATGATTATTGTTTAAATTTTTTAAAAGTATGCAAAGTGTTCTTCACCTCCACCTTGTTCAGTATTTTCCTAAATCAGGACACGTAAATGACTGAATTGTTAACACCATGCTGTTCCTTCAGTGATTGATTGTTTGGTCAGGTGGATACATACCGTAGTCCTGCTAAGCTCTCCTGATGTTGTTAAACTGTCCCAGTTTCAGTGGGTTGCTTGTTTGTTTTTACTCTGTCCTGGCAGCCTGCTGCTGGTGACAAAAGCCCAGGTGTGAGTCAGGACTTCCTAAAATATGCCAACCCCACCCCTCCCCCATCTCTGTCCTCACATTTTCTCTTCACGTGTCTTTCCTTTCCTGCATCATCGTTTTTTTTTTTACAGGAAATAGGTACTGAAAGAGCAGGAGAAGTTTGCATGATAAGAAAATAGTAAAGATGTGTGTTAGTGTTTCCAGTTGCCAGGCCTCGTTCTTTATTGCCAGCTCATGCAGCTCCTTCTGATAAGCTACTTGCTTAGGCAGTAATGAGTGTTTCTTCAGAGCTGCACAGATCCTTGCCAGGCTCTTATCTGCTATCTGGACCTGACGATGGGGCCTACTTTGTCACTACTTTTGTGACAAGTCAACTTTCAGCAGCCGCTGCTCTGTCATCCTCCAGGCTTCAGTCCTTGGCACTTTATTTGGGGGGTGGGGGGTCTGAAGTTATTCTTTTTCCATGTATTCCAGAGCTTTTTCCCACTCTTCAATAAAACTATTGAATGAAATACTAGCACTAGCATGTTCTCAGCTCGCTTGCATGTTAGCTCACCGGCTTCAGTAGTTCACCAACCAGCCTTGTAAGTAGGCCCTACATCACTAAGCTTTTAGCATCGCCTATTTTTGGAAGATGTGTGGATGAACGACGCCGCTGTGCCACTTTCTGGTGTGACCAGGCCTTACATCTAAGTTGGGCCTTTTGTGTCTTCTTTTTTTTTTTTGCTTCAGTGCCTTGTACAAGGCATTACAGGGGCCACTGCTGTTAATGCAGGCTCAACCCTTTCCGTTGCTTCTTCACAGTAAAACCCTTCCAGTAATGAAAATTGATAATGGCATTTATTGTTAAGTAGCAACAGGGAGTGCTGAGTTGGAGTCTTTGCTGGTAATTCAGCCTAGGTCAGGTTTAGCTGAGGCTAGATGTTGTTTTTGCATCCTGGCATTACTGGCAGATGAGAATGCAAGGGTAGAGGTATGGTAAAACAGCATATTTGCACATAAAGAAGGTAAACTATACTTTTCCTGTACTGTTTTCTTCGCTACCCGCCCCATTGCAGAAGGTCATCCAAAGCAGAAGGGACATTATGGTCAGCATAACTACAATATAAAGTAATGGTCCAGGCATGTTTGTCACAACATTAGTATTAAGTTTCTTTTGCGCTCAACAGTCATTGATCTTTATTTGTAAAATTTTGAAGTCGATTGAGATATCACTTGATACGTGCATGCATACAGTACGTCTTAAAGCCCCAGGCCACGGTGGATTGGACATTGTATCCACTGAAGCAGATGTTTCCCCCTAGTCACGGAATATAATGGCTGTCAAGGTCTCAGTGTGTTTTAATTTGCTACTTCACTGCGCTGCCTCCTCCGTTTTGCTTTCCATCACCCCTTTTCCTTCAGGATTATAATATTCCATCAGCACTTGCTGTATACTGTATGCTCTATATGCAGGATATGCCTTACCTAATTTGTTTAGAAAAAAGTATAAAAAATCTGGACCTCTACAAATGCAGTCATGTCTTAACAATGATAATATGCAGAAGATGACAGCTGGAGGAATTGGCCTTCTGGTGGGGAATAACACACTAAACTACAGACTCCTAGACACCACCTAAAATTAGTTTACTCTATACCATAAGCTTAACAAACCAGACAATCTTATTGAAGCGTTTAGTCGTGGTAAGTAGGGCTGCACGATTTGGAGTCATATTGTGATTATTGTGGACAATATTGCAATTACGATTCGATTATAATGGGGAAAAAATGCTACTATGAGTCTACTTGATTATCAAGGAAAATGCACAAAAACAGACATTTTGAAATGTGTGTTTTTTTTCTCAACTTGAACAAAGTTAGACAATAAACAATATTGATAACAATAACTAGTAAAACAAGCATATTGCACCTACAGAGGAGGTGGCTAGAAGGAGCAAATATTGGCGCACCGGCTAAGGCTCTACATTAGTCCCGTGCAGAGGCGCTATCCTCAACCTGGAGGAGGAACGAGTATACATAAGTGTATTAGTATAATATTGAGCACCGGCATTTCTCTCGGTGCTCCATTGACGAGTCCGACTATGTTTTGAACGAATTGCGGCGGAGCAGGGAGGGGGGGGTTACGGTAGGTTATTGTTGTTGTTGTTTTAAAAGTTAGTGGCACACTGTTCATAAATAATTATTCTGATTGCATGTAGGCCTGTCTGTTTGTAGAGGCACATGCGAGAGTCCGGTGTGGGTGTGGATAATGAGCAGACTGTAGCGCACACAGAGAAGATCTATTTTATTAAATCGCACACTTGTGGTTATGTAATCGCACATGACTGATTGCGATTAGATTAAATGTGCAGCCCCAAAGGTAAGTGTGTGATTTTACATGCCTCACAAGCGTCATTCACTGCTACACTGGTGTGTTAAAGAATTGCATTGTCTGACTGATATTGACAGCACAGTCAGTATTTAATGTTCATGCGTGAACAAAACCTGACAATCTAATTTGGTTTCCACAGATTAAATGACAAATGAGGTGATAAACCAGAATAAATTGAGCTACTCAGGACAATAAATGAACAGGAATTGGAATCATTCCTGGAAACAGGTGCACAGATGACACATTACATAAAAAAATATTCATATCATTCAATATCAGTAACAATCAGAATCAAATCATTACTTCTTTCAAGTCTAAAGTTGAAGAACCCGGATGGTTAATTGGGATTTTAAACTATCCTTCACGGTCAGAACATGACAAACACTTGATGCCGAACAGTGGATAACTTCAAAAATCTCAAACAATTATGATAAAATCTTTTTTCAACAAATATGCATGAGTAAAATTAAGTAAAATCTTGAAGCATGTTGTAAACATGCAAAATACCAATCAAGGTTCAACAAGCTTCAAATGGTGTGTATACGAGGTCCATCCAAAAAAACACAACAAAGGTTGTTTAAAAATGTTTTCTTCTTTGTGTCCTTGCAGTACTAGTAGTTCAGACATAGGAGCAGACCGTTTTGACCTAAATTTGACCTTCAGCACGATGATTTGGTACCTTGACTGTCCATATTAGTGTTAAAGATTAGCCCTTGTTCACCCACAAGTCTCCTCGTGATTTGTTTTTTGTCCTCATTATTAACCTTTTAAATTTAAACCTTTATTATTATTATTATTATTTAAACTCGAAGAACCTTCGAGGTTTTGCCCTCATTTGCACTGTTGCACGCTGTAGCTGTAATCAACAAAAAACCTCTAATGACTCTCTGCAGGATGACTGATTGGAGGAAGCACTTCCTAATTTCTTTGATTACCTAGTGTGGCAGGAAGTTGAGTAGGCAAGTATACATCTTTACACAGTCGCACCTACATTTAAG